TGTTGTCTTAGGAGGCCTTCTTTTACGCGACACGTTACTAACTGATCCTGCCTTAGATACGAATCGCATTGCCTGTATACACCTGTATACGCCGTTTTGGAAGTATTTAATTTTGTAGCAATTGCCGAAAATGAGTATCCCTCATCTTTCAACAAATTAATTTGAATTCTTTGTTCAGGAGTAGTGTTCTTCCCTCGACTCATGATTGTTGACTGATTTACAATTGTTTGCGATTTTGAATGCAGTGATCCATAGCAACCATGTCAATAACGATGGTAACTAAGGATCTGATACAACTCGTGAAAAACACGAATCGGTCTTAAGTAGTTGTCCGCTGTTATAACGACCTAATCTGAGAGGATGTTAAAAATATTTGTAGTTTATAGTGTTGTAAATAAAATTATTACGATATTATGGTATAACATACTTCAAAATGTATTTCATATGAGTTTAGTATACGAAAAACACAACGAATAAAATATTAGCACTGTTTATTTCCTTAACTGCAAAGCGGTCTTAAGTAGTTGGCCGCCACTGTATACCTACTTTTCTTCTCCAAAAGTAAATTTTTTTACCAAAATACTTTTCCGCTCCCCCTTTAAAGAATCTGATTCTAGAAGTATACATGATTTCAAAAATAAGTTTGACAGTTTGATTTATTAAGATTAACAAGATCAATTTATGTATTGAAATTGACATTTCCAAAGGATCGAACGATTCGATCAGGATGTTCTAACAGGAAACCTTCTCAATCCCATAACTTCCTCCTTCTAAACACTCTCTAACCTCTACTACCCTAATCACGCTCCCCTCCATATCTCTTTGAGGCAAGCTTACACCATAAACGTGTAAAACAATCGTTCGTAGAAATTTGGAAAATCTCTATAAAGAATTGAATACAGAAAAATATGTAGGACTGTTTATGAGTATTATTTTCATTCGTTACATTTTAATAATATTCTACGGAAATTGAATATTACATTAATTAACCGATAGAAACTCCTAAATTTTATTTTATATCAAGTTTCAATTCTCCAAGGAATCAAACGCTTCGACCAGCTTTCGTCCCTACCAGGAAATTCTCACAACTCCATAACTTCCAAAGCCTCTCCATCCCCCTACTCCCCTGATAACTCTCCCTTAGTAACTCCATAAAATGAGTTTGCATCATACCATGCGAAACCATAGGAACAATTCGACTTTCCAAAGCCAGGATATCAATATCTAATCAATTTTTCAACATTTTGTCTGAAGTAAATACCAATCTTTTATTAAGCCATCGTTTGCCTAAACGGGTATGCAAAAACGCGCTACAAAATGATAGCAAATATCCCAGTAAACGAATCGTTTCATTTCCAACATTTCATGCACAACAATATCATGAAATTCCAATTTTCTTCATTTGCATATAAACACAGAATATTTCAAACATTCTCTAATCGAAAGTATCAACAAAATACATATGATAAAGTAAAAAAATTCGAACTGCAGTAAGGAACAACTAAAAGCAAAGTATGTACCCCCTTTATCCATTAAATTATAAAAATTTATGCTTTTAATAGAAAAATACGCTGCTTTTGTTTTACGACCTATACGTAATCAGTTTTTAACACACTGCCAACTGATAGATCCACCACTTTCTACGATATCATTCACAACGAATTATATCTGCTGATCATATATTATCCCAAAAATGTTTTTTCATAATATTATAAGATATAATACAACATCCTTCAATTTGATATTATTAATTTTCCTAACACAGTGTTCTTCCCTAACTTTTCTAGAAAACTTTCCAACAATCTTAGGCGTCCATTCATAAAATGTGGTGGATATTCTCTATCACACATAAACTATCTTTCCTCAAAAACAAAAGCAAGAAAAAACAAATAAAGTAAAATATCTCAGAACAGTCTCGAAGTTTGTAAAATAGAGATTTAACACATCGGATAAATTTTACCCCACGCATATGCTCTTGGGTTACCATAAAAAAAAATTCCAACATTCTTTAAAATTGAACACTCTTATTTAAAATAATTTCCATAATGTTCGATACACTTTTGCCAACGTATTGCAAGAGTATTAATTCCGACTGCTGAAAGGCGTTTTCAATATCTTCCTATTTCTTAAATCGTTTTTGTGTAAGGAAATTTTCAAGTGAGTGGAAAAAGTGAAAATTGATTGAAGATAAATCAGGGGAATACGAAAAATTTTTGTTACCTTCAGATTTTGGTGAACGACTTCCAATTCGTTACCGTATGATTTTTATCGGATGTGAACTAAATAGGTTTCGATCGAGGAGATTCATTTGCGTCTCTCCTTTTCTTAGAGATTCGAATTTCTATGTAAGCGAAATTAAGCTCGTGTAATACGTTGACAAAAGTGTATAATGGAGTTATGTTTTTTTTCAAAACGAACGGTTTAAAACCCCAGGAACTTCCAGGATAACTTAATATTATATGATTTAACCCTTAACTATAGACACTTGCCTCTAAGACGTTGCCACAAACGTGTAGTCTCTCAGACTACTTTGGTAATTCATTTCTTAAATCACTGTGTTGTATAAATAAATTTAATATAACTATTTTATGTAATGATATATATGTTGTTTGTTAAGGTTTTTTACAATATTTAATACAAATATTTAATATTTAATATTTAATACAATCTAATGCTACATCAAGAATTAGGTTTTTTTTCATGGAAATAGTGTACTACCTGCTGTAAATTGAAGTTACTCAAACTTTACAGCTTTCAAAATTCTCCATATATCGCTGCTTAACATTGACAGTGACGTAACTCAAAAAAAATAAATTTTACAGAAAAGGCAAGTTTAAAATTTGCATTTGACTAATACTTGAATACTGATCGTACAATCTGATCTGCTCTCTGGTATGAAATTAACGAAGTTTTAAATGATAAAAATACTGTATCTACAGAATCTATTTGTGCAAAGAAAAATCAAAATTAACGTATTTTGAATTATGCCACTATCAATGCCAACCAGCAATGCGTATATGCCCTAGTAAAATAAAAGATTCAGATTCTTTACTTAAAGGACCTATATAATACTCAGTCTATACATAAAAAATTATTGATTAAAACAGTAAACAGCTAACGCTTAGATACATAGTCGAC